CTGACCCCAGGCAGATATGGTGCGCTCTGCTGCTTTGAGGTCTCTCACTTTGGAAGAATGATGCCAACAGTCCTGGTTTTATTCCCATGCAGAATTGGGAAGTGGTTTAAATCTTAAAATGTTAAAGGGAGAAGAATGCCATTTCCTGAGTTTAGGCTTTTCTCCTGATACATACTGCAGTCAGGCTGTGTGAGCTGTTCCCAATATATCCCCATGATGACAAGCCCTTCCTCTGCCCAGCAATCCTCCTGGGGGCTGTTTTGGAGGTTCATGCACATTGTTCTTCTCTAACTCTGTGGCCCAGAGCTGCAGCTAATCTTCCCCCCATAGCTGGCAGACCCCTTTCTTCAGCTAATCTGTCTCAAACCTCTGCATCACACAGCAACATGCTATCTCTGCTTTATGCTCTCAACTTCTGAGAAGCAACACTGAGGAAAACGCGTGCCTCCCAGTGGCCCCATGCATTGTAATTTGTCTTTCCCTGCTCAACATCAGTTAGCTCTTCAAATATTCTAAAAGAGCAAATATGCTGTAAATGCCTGCAGCGCATATAAGACTTTCTGCCAAAAATTGATATTTTTATCCTCGTTGCGATTCCTTACATCCAAATGAAAAAGATGCCATGAACAGTGATTGCACTCTGTAGTTAATGATCCTGGGTATGTGTAGACATATTTCTCAGCATTTTTAAGCAATTTGTTCAAGCAGCCAAGAAGACAGAATGGGTTTTATTCTAATTAGAGTAGCTGCCACTAAAATTCAACATTTCCCTGCAAAACTATATATTCATCACACTTGTTCCATACTTCAAACATGAGAGGAAAAAGATCTTTTTGTGACAGACATGTCCAGAGCCTCTTACTGTCCAACAGCTGGGCTTCTACATTATTTATAACTTGTATACATCAGCATTCTGCATCCACATTATGTCACCTTGTTTCAACAACAATTATGTCATTGGCATACTAAGGCACTGCTTTAACAGATGACAGGTTTCTAATCCTAAATGACTCTGTAAACCATAACAAATATCTTACTTGTCTGAAAGAATTGGCTTTTCACTTTATTTTCTATTGGCTTACCTGAGCTTTGTATCTTTGACCCTTAAAGTGGTGAATCAAAATGTTCATCTCTAGTTAATCTCTAAATATATTCCAATTAAGTCTGAAAAGCAGCATGACCTACATCCTTTTCTAGTCAAAAATAGACTAAAATATACTCAAGAGGGTCTTTTTCAACGGTGGAGGTGCTCTCACTCTTCCAGATACTTTATATGTTACATGAAGAAGTAGCAAAACAGTTTTCTTTAAGAAAAGGAAACGCTATTGTAAAAACAACTGAAATTGCCAAGCTTCCACACACTCCCTTCTCAGACAAAGGCACCACTCATCTCCCAGCCTTCCCCTCCTAAGTGGGTTGCAGAGCCACTTTCCATGGCTGTATCGCAGAGAACAACATGTACTGCAGCCCTGAAAAAGCAGGGAGTAAACAATCAGCTCCCGTGCTTCTTAGGACAGTTCCTCCTTAGAAAAACAAAGTAGGCTTTCTGATTTGGTCAGAGGTCTAGCAATACACTGCACAAAGTCCTCCAAATGTCTGAAACATTAATACAAGAACAGAACAGACCAGAACAGGGTAGGATAGGATAGATTTCAGTTGGAAGTGACCTACAGCAATCATCTAGCCCAACTGCCTGACCAATTCAGGGATGCCTGAAAGTTACAGCATGTTATTAAGGGCATTGAGCCAATGACTCTTCACCACTGACAGGCTTGGGGCATCAACCAGCTCTCCAGGAAGCCTGTGCCAGTGCTTGAACACCCTTCTCTGTAACTAAATACTTCCTAATGTCAAGTCTGAACATTCCTTGAGGAGCCTTGGTTAAATTATCTGTTGGATTGTTTGTGACCATGGACATGCACTTTGGTTCACATACACACAGCGATATACAGAATCTTTCCCTTGGATTCCCTCAGTTTTGCTGCTTTTTTTCCCAACCGCATCACATGCCTTTATTTATTTCCTTGGACAATCAACACTGTAACAGCTCTGCCACTACAGCAACACTCCCACAGTTAGAGATTTCTTCCAAGTACAGGCTGCCAACACATCCATTTCACCTTAAATAGGGAAAGGTACTGCAGAAATAACCCAGGTAGCAGACATGTCCTTTCCATGCTCGTGTTCCCAGCATAAGCCAGCTTCATGTTTGCACCTCCCCAGTGTAGGGATTTGCCTACACTGTCCTGCTGCTCCCAGTAAGCTGGATGAGCACAGGATGAAGAAACTTAGGTTAATTTGCTACACACAAAAAATAAGCCTTGCAAGTGAAACACAAAGCTGACAGATTGTTGTCTTCAAGAGTAGGCATGAAATAGGTTAGCAGCCTTCCCACATGTCATCCTGAGCATATATCCATTTAACAGAATTAAACAGTAGAAATTCAACTTTTACTACTGTTGATTAAATAGATCTTATTTGAGTGAAGAAAGGAAAAAAGGTACAAACTGATGAAGGGTCACCCCCATTCCTAGAGTGATTCCAAGACTGTTATATTCAGTCTACCACAGCTTAAGTGCCATTCCCACTTCTGATTAGAAGCAGCACTTGTTCTCTGTGTGCGAAATGGCTCTGAGGTGCTTGGACTAATACACTTGCTCTCCCAGTGGAATTTTGCTCTGGGTAGTGGTTAGCCAGGATCACATCCCCTCTGCATGGTGGAAATAAAGCAGACCTTGATTAATAGCAGACCTCACCCACTGGGAGGTGGGTAGGGGTGCCAGTATTTAACACATCATGTGTGTTGTTCCCCACTGAAGTTTATACATTCTAAAGAAATAATAAACTTATTGATTTTTGGCCTGACTGAAGCTACTTATCCAGAGGAATTGCATATCCCCTGCTGCTTGCAGTTAAGAAAAGGTGTACAGAAGTTTGTAAACATAACACAGCAGCTTCAGCTCCGTGGAGTGGTGCAGATAAGAAGCACTTGCCTGGTGTCTTACTGCAGATCAGAGCTTGAGGCTCCAGCAGAGCACTAACCTCTGTTTATAGCCCTTTATAAGTTTATCCATGTTGTTTTAAAAGCAGATTACACTTACACAAAACATTTTAACACTGCAGCAGATTGAAATTACCCTAAATTAAAAACTGCATCCTGAGTCTTCTACAAGGTTTTTAGGTTATAATCAGTGCTAATGAGCTGGATACATCTTTCTGCAGTCACCCAAAGCTAGGAATTGATTAAGCAGCAATCAGACTTGTGTGCAGGTGCTCCATTAGAATATAATTTTCAGCTGCACTGTGACACAGAAGTAGGTTTAAAATCTGCATAAAATTGTTTTCTGCAGGTAACTGCTAGAAATCACAAATACTGCTGTATTTGCATAAAAGCTGTGTTAAGTGAGCAGTGAATTAAAAGCAAACAAGGACTGCAAACAAGGGTATTGTCATACATGACAAAAAAGTAGAACCCCAGGTATATAAAAGACACAGTGACTGTATTTATAGGAATGGTGATAGCAAAACAGCAATTGGAAATTCACATTTATGCAGAGAAGGACTTGGGAGTGTTGGTCAATGATAAACTGAACATGAGCCGGCTTCATGGTGCGCTTGAGCCCAGAAACCAACTGTATCCTGGGCTGCATCAAAAGCAGTGTGACCAGCAGGTTGAAGGAGGTGATCCTGCCCCTCTACTCTGCTCTCGTGAGACCTCACTTGGAGTACTGTGTACAGTTCTGGTGTCCTCAACATAAAAAGGACATGGAGCTGTTGGAGCAAGTCCAGAGGAGGCCACGAGGATGATCACGGGAACCTCCCATATGAAGGCCACAGGGATGATCAGGGGCACCTCCTATATGAAGACAGACTGAGAACATTGGAGCTGGAGAAGAGAAGCTGCACAGAGACCTCAGAGCAGCTTCCAGTGTCTGAAGGGGGCTACAAGGATGCTGGAGAGGGACCCTTCATTAGGGACTGCAGTGATAGGACAAAGGGTAACGGGTTCAAACTTAAACAGGAGAAGTTCAGGTGAGATATAAGGAAGAAGTTCTTTACTGTGAGGGTGGTGAGGCACTGACACAGGTTGCCCAAAGAAGTAGTAAATGCTCCATCCCTGGCAGTGTTCTAGGCCAGGCTGGACCTAGCCTTGGGCAACATGGCCTAGGGCGAGGTGTCCCTGCCCACGGCAGGGGGTTGGATCTTAAGGTCCTTTCCAACCCAATCCATTCTATGATTTATTCATTTTTCTTGATTATTTTTTGTTGGCAACAACACAGCCATAGTAACATATTGGGATAACTTGAGAGGCGATTTTGAACTGATCCAAAAATGCCTGCACCCACCATCAACACACACTTCATCTCAGCACGGACATTTCCCTAGAATCTGCCAGGGGCAGGGCTCCCTCACCGGGGACACTCGTGCTGCCTCACAGGTGAGAATCCTGCTGTGCTTGCCCTGCACACCCTAGTAACGGGATTGCTCAAAGGGACCTCTTGAGGTCACCAGGGGATAAAGGGTAATACCCAGTGCTAACCTTGAGCCTAGCACAGCCCAAAGTGTCCCAGGCTGCCTCCTCCCCTAAGGCTCTTAGGAGAGCTGGCACCTTGATACCACTAATCCACACAGAGTGATGCCTTTCCTGATGGAGTTTAGCATCAGTTTAACAAAGCCAATTAAAAACCTCTCTCCATTTAATCTGGTGCAACCTCCCCTGCAGAGCAGGCTTCACCAAGCACTACTGGGGATAGATGGAAGAAGCTTTAAGGGAGGTCAGGCTCAGCTTCTCTGTTGCCTCTCCTTTCAGCAATACTAATGCCCCACAAAACGGGTAAGTTCAAGAACAAGACCTGACAATCCCCTGGCATCAGCTGCTCTTTCAGGGCATCCCTTTAAAGTACATTTTCAAGGTGTCCTCTTTCTAAAATCTGTTCAACAAACTAATTCAAACCCACTGTATTTTAATAGCCTTACCTGTAGAAGTCTTGGTAATCATATGCCATGTTAGTCACACCATCGAATATGGATTTATTCCTGAGTTTCTTATTGTTGTTATTGTTTCTTCCCTTAAACCCAAAGTAAGCAGCTTGCATGTGCTCTAGTTCTTCAGCTCTGAGCTGGTACCACAGCTGCATATCTCTGTGAATAAAGCAAGGGATACAATACATTACTGTGATAAATGGCTGTATCTCTGAGCTTTTATCTGACCACAGCCCTGATGCCCTAGAGTTTAAATCTAAATCCAGGTTTCCTGAAGACTGCACTGAAACACATAGCTGAAATTCAACTGTAAGGCAAATTTCCAGCAACTTACACAGCTGCTTAAATACCTTAAGGTGGTGGTGGGGTGTTCTTAAACAGAATCAGTTTTATTCTGTACTACAGTATTATTTTAAGTATTAGCAACCACTTCTCAAAAAAACCCATGCAAGTGAAAAAAGCACCTGTGGCTAGTTCAAGGACAAAACCCCAATAATGATGTCAATTTGACTCAGTGGATTTTGAGACTACAGCTAATAGGGAAAGTCACCTGAGGTGTGATCTTGTGTCAGTTTTCTCATGGACCTTCATCAGCGACACACGTCAGGCCAGATGCTGTGTATGTGAAAAGACCTCAGCCCATCACCACTTTATGGAATAAATTATTTCAGAATTTTAAAAAGTAAAAAAAGTCTTTTCTGTAATATTTTGCATCTCTGCTGTTGCTGAGGTTCAAACCACCAGGCAGGTTGAAAAAATGAATTGACTTAAAAATAGTAATGTTGCCTTTGTGAAGAGCAGGGCTTATTTGATTTCCTTTTGGAAGCACTCAAGATGCTTTTCATGCTGCTCTCTACAACTTGGGGGGAGGGGGGAATCACTGTTTCTTTTCTTGTTTGTAAAAGAAGTCTAAGATTCCCATAATCACAGACACTCACATGAGCTGATGGGACAAGACTGAATTGTGAGAGCTGGCAATACTGACTTTGGTGTCATTTCTGTCCTCTCAGGATGCAGTCCTGCTCCTACCAAAGAAAACAGTGGCTGAGCTCATGCAGTGGGACAAGGTCTGTGAGGAGGCTAAATTATGTGAGGATTTTCAGTAGCCTTTGTCCTTCTCTCCAAATGCAAGGATAAAACATAAGATAGCACTTTAAAGATCATCACACAGATACCTTGCAAGACAGGTATGTAGGCAGAAGTGATCTCTTCTACTTCTTTTTAAGCAAAGAGCCAAAAAAAAAGGAGACAGGTGGACTTCAAAGCTATAAGTAAGGTGAGGACATCCTTCCTATTCCATGGGTACAGCCTACCTTTTCTTTCAGAGATGGTCTAAGAGACACTTATTTAACTAATGCCCTACCAAATATTCTCATTTTGTATTAAGTTACCAAGCCTGCAGCTTCTCTTCAGATTAATCCTTTGTGCATCCAAAAGTCAATCCACATTTTCCACCTACATCAACAAAAGAGATGCTTCCACCACATCTGGCACTTTGCAGGTCAAGCACACAGGGTTGTGTTTACTCTTTCTCACATGACATGGACAGTTTCTACATCATCTCAGGTGCTTTCTACATCAAGACTAAGCCACACAATGTCTGCAGGGCTCGTGGATGGGCTGTGTTGGAGCAGTTCCTTCAGGGGACAGTGAAGGCAGAACAGACGGCAGAAGGGAATGAAGAAGCTCCCAGCAAAGGGAATCACATTAAGCCTGATGGCAGAACCAGTCAAAATGCCTGGTGTGAAGGGCTTTTCTTTCATAAGAGAAAAATATCAAGTTATCAAAGTCATGTGAATGGCTAACTGACAAAACTTCATTTAAAATAAATGAAAAGCAAGGACTTTGCTATGAATAGTCTTATCAAAAGGTCCTTTCCAACCCCAACCGTTCTATGAATCTATGAAAATCAGAGTGCAGCTTACTGTGGTGCACCACAGGACAGGTGCAGCCACCCCTGCCCCCCAGGCTACATGCAGACAACGAGAAGGAAAAGTGAGAGGGAAACCAAGAAGAGGCACTCATGGAAAGCATTCTGCGGTAGGTTGCTTTGGATGGATGCTCACATGAGCAACAGTGGCTCATGGCTTTATGCTCACATGGCTTTAGCATGCAGCCACATGTGGTAATGCAGCCACTCTCCACACTGAGTTTTTATAATGGACTGAATTGGTGAAATTTACTTCTTCCTGTGCCTGTTTCAAATCCTGCACTTCAAGCCAGAAGACAAAATCCTATCTCCTTCCAGCACAACGTTGTGACAGCTTTAGTATGCTTTGCAGGCAGTGAGGACTTTGATTGTTTCGACACGGGTAGGTTAATTTTCCCAGCAGTGTTCAAGAAAAGCAACAGAAAAAGAGAAACAGAGAGAGAAGAAGGGAAAACACAGCCAATCTTAAGTAATTCGAGGAGAGAAAGACTGGGCCAGCAAATAAGACATGTACGTTCAGCTTCTGCATAATCCTGGATAAATCCAGATCTGCCCAGCCCCACTGAGGTTATCTGATATTAACAGACATTAGATGCCTAAATTCTCTTGAATTCCAAGTCTTTCTATGCCTATTGCTTGACCTACAAATTAAGGATTTTAAGTAACTAACATCACTGCAGTGTTGCAAGCGTCAAGTTCTTTGAAGCTCTCTGCTACCACGGCAATGAGATCCATCTGGTCTTACACTGGGTTTAAAAATCTTTTCTTGACATACCTTTGAGTCCTCCTCCTTTCACTTTTCTTCACACACTTGATAAGACAACAAGTTAAAAAAGCCATGGACATCAGCAGAATGATGGCACAGCTCACGATGGAGGCAATCACTGCAACCTTAAATCCAAAACTCTCATATTTTGATATGGCTGCAGCAAAGCAAACACAGAAGCATGTTTCTAAGATCAAGCCATGAATTTATCATTCACATTTTCATTAAACCATCCTGAAACCTACCTGCTTCCCACTTCTGCTAATAATAGCTCAGTGAGAACTTGCACATTAGAATGTGTCAAGATACCAGAGTATCTTGGCTTCGGCTTAGAGCTGTGCAAGCCTCCAGTTAGGATATTTAAAACTCTCTTGTTTATAAACTACTAATGAATTGTTCACAAGTATTTAATCACTGCAATTAATTAAACATAATGCCTTGAGTGCTCCAGTAGCTAAAAAGCACAACTTTGTCAGCATCTCAAACGCAGTTGAGCTAGCAGACTTATAAGCAATTGCTAACAAGGACTGGAGCTGCAAAACCAAATACTGAGAAGGGAAAATGGGTTTAAAGAACTGTCCTTTAGAGCAAGGACAGTTCCTTGCAGTTGCATTCTACCTGGCAGGCAGTGAACAACAGGTCTTCTCTGTTTGGTGAAGGATGCAGGATGGGAGAAGGGACAACATCTGCTGGGCTGAGTGTTCACAGTGATCTGATGCTGGAAGCGAGTTATCCAGACAAAAGCAGGAGTGGGAATGTGGTGTGGCACAGCTAATGCAGATCTCTGCCAACTCATTTGGAGCACTAAGTGTGTCTTGCTTTGTAACTCATGTAGTTCTTCCAACATCACAATGATCAGATCAGAAATGGTTCAGCTGAGCTCCACACAAAGTGTTATATTGCTGCAGCCTCGGGAGGGAAGGATTTCTCTCTTTTTTCTTTAATGGAATCTCTCAAACAAGGTATAAGAATACCTGAGTTTGAGAAGAAGCACAAAGTGTCTATAGGAGCCATCAATCTACTTGTGATTTAAAATATCCAAGGTCTGAAACACAGACGGAGACTCTCAAAGCTCAGAGGTACCATGTTTTGCTTGGGCCTACCCAAATTACTAGCAACCATATAATAAATAAGAAGGAACACAGCATGAAAGGTAGTTAATCCTGATGTTATTCAAACATGATTTGTCAATGTGGTAACTTTCTCAGGCAGCTGCACACAGGCAACAACCTGGAATTGTTAAAAAAATATCACTGCATTTCTTCTGCAGCAAAAATATCTTCAGAAAAGAAAGCCAGGAGATAGAGGGTTTGCAAATACGTTTGCACATCAGCTGCCCATAGCCACACATTTTCTAAAGAATGGTACAGCTTGTAGCTGCAGAGCTAGTTACTCTGGGTGCAGCACTGCAGGAGCTGGTGACATGAGATCAGGCACAAATCCGACTAAGTCTTTTTTGTGTCCTGATAATGAATTATGTCAGCACACATATGGAGTACAATCACAGTCAGTGAGGGCAACTTTGAAGGAAACTGGCCTTGTCTTTTTCTTTGCCCAGATGTCTAGAATTAATCCTAACACAGGAGATAGGCAGGGCAAAATAAAACAATGCAGCCTAAATTAGTTGGGAATGGTTTGGAAAGAACCTTACGCTGGCAGGAGGGCACTCCGGCTGTCCACTGGGTACCATTCCCTTTCCAAATGCAGGTGATGAAGCCCGGTCCCTCCAGCTGGTGCTCCGCAGAGCACTGGAATGTTATTATGGTCCCCACAGCTGTGCCGTTGCCGCGAAGGATGTTTAGTGTGCCGAGCTGGGGAGGGAAGATGTGGCTGCACTGCCCTGCAGAACAAAACCAAAGTGAGACAATGCAGTGCCAGAGCCAAAAGTGGGAGTCCACTTCAGTTTTATTGCTATCAGACTGTAAATCTGTCTGAGTTAATGGTCAAAACAAATAACAGACCTCGGGGAGGGCTCTGCCAAGCACCAGCCCAAGGCCAAACCCTCTTCGGTGCCATTCAACAGTTCCACTACCGTGACCCGTGGCACAAAGTGGGGTTTTACTTGTATTGCAACATCATCCGCTTAGGCTGGTACATATTAAACTTTTAAAAAGTCATTCTGGGAGTGGCGTGGTGTCCTACGGATTCCTGTCTTGTTGGACAGTGTGTGTTCAATTACGTACTCAGGCTGGCATCTTCCATACTGGAAGTATTCATAACACATATTTCCCCATGCAAACTTTGATGGACTGATCACATATTTCAGGATGTCAATCTATTTGGTAGCATCTTCTCCTGATCCTATGGGAACTTCCTATCTTTCAAGAGACTACACCGAGAATCATAGAATAGTTAGGGTTGGAAAAG